TGGCTGCTGACGTCGCATCCAAGAAGTGGAATCCAGCAGGAGTTGCAGGATGTTTGGATGTCTACACCATGGAGGCTTTTACAGGTTAATATAATGCCATTAAATATGTTTCTTTAAAGTGTATTTCCAATTTTGTTGAGAAAAAGAAACAACCCCCTCTTGGTAATCTTTGCTAATTGCAAGGATTTTAACAAACATTATCATTGAGCCCTACCTTTCGCTGCTCTGAAAGAAGTAACTGATTGCAGACCAATTATGAATGGGAGAGACTGATTCATTATACTCACCCAGTGCCCTCTCAGTGTTATGATGAAAAAGCTGCAGTGCATGCATCCCTTTAAAAGTATTTAACCCTTGGGGAGAATCTCACCAAAGCTGAATTTCCCATTTCAGGGGCTGCCTAAAATTTGACTTGTATCTAAATGCATATACATAGAAATGGAGGGAAGCAATAATCTTTTTTTAAAAGGAAAGTGCCAACAGTGACAGTAATACATTGAGCAAAAAAAAGTTTCAATAAATGGCACTGGCAAAAATAGTCATATAAATCATAAAATAAAAAAGCTGATGATGTGCTACAGAATTTCACCAATTACCTTTCATTCCCTACATACATTGTCAATTTTATGACATATTAACAAATGTATGGTTCTAAGTGTTCCATTCAGCCTGACATGTTTCAGAAACTACTTCAGGACTGGGGACAATATATAGTATATCAAATAAACTCAGTGGGGTATTTTGTTTTTGTGCTAGGCAACACTAAAATCAGGTGTCCCACACACAATCTAAAAAGGAGAGAGAGGAGAGAGAGGAGAAGCGTTCCTCCAGCACTCACCTCCAGAATAAAAGCAACTGGCCATCCCTGGAGAAATGGTCAGGAAAGCCCAGTGTTCTCCTTGTGTGGGTACGAGAGTTGGCCTCTACCTACACCCTCCAGCAGCCCGCAGCTTCTCTCAGATCTCATAGCAGAGGTCAGGCAGTGCCTCCCCTGGTCCCCATCCTCTGTCACCTGCCACATGTGTCCCTTCTACCGGGGGGCACTGAACAACATCTTGTTTGCCTTGAGGTAAATACGCCCCTGGGTAAACCAACCATCTTATCAACTAGTAGCAAAAGCAAACCACTCACTGTCTCAACATCACCGGAAAGTGTGTATGGTGGTAAAGTCCCATTTATTTTATACGTTTTCTGCTCATTGTATCTTAGTGCAGACTGAGAAATTAGTGAGCCAATCACACAAGCAGAAAATATCATGTGCCTGGGTCCAAACCTAGGTTCACCTTGCCACTGGAGAATCTGACTCTCTTCCCCATACGCTCTGCTTAGAACATCTGCTCCTAGGACTCTCTAGCTTCACCTGCCTTCCAGTTGCAGTCAATCCACAATTTATTCTGCTTTAATTGCAGGACATCCTGTGTACTTGGCCTGTTTCTTGGATCTGTTTTCCTTGGAGTGTGCTATACTGTTGAGCTACTGAACTTCTGGACTTTGACCTCTGTCTTATTCCTGGATTCCTCTCTTTTCCTGATGATTCTACTTTACTCTGCCAGTATGTGTATGACCCTGACTGCCTCCGACCACACTTCTGGGTTCTGACTTTGTACCTTGCTGTCAAGATTTGTTGACCCTGCCCACCTGACTATGCTAACGTCTCAACCCCCAACCAAAGGAAATTACATTTCTGGGGGTGTTCCATATTCCAGCTGTGTACAAAACGCCTCCAGGTTGCTATTTTGCATTGAATTTTACCGAAAATTAAAATGGCTGCAGATTGAAGGCGAAAGTTTTTCTTTTTTTAAAATAACATTCAATTACAATATGGCTTGCGTATCAATTGTGAATAAGATTGCAAATACTTGCATTAAAGTGGAATTCCAGCTGACAAAAAAAAAAATAAAAGTCAGCATCTACAAAAACTGTAGTTGCTGAATTTTAAAATACAGACACTTACCTATCCCTTGGTCCAGCGATGTCCTCACCACAGCTGGTTTCACAGGATGTCTTCTCTCCCTGGTGCCGGCATCTTCAGTGTGGGCACCTGGCTGTGACAGCTTGCGGCTTCACAGCCGGGTGCCCACTGCGCATGCGTGAGAAGCGCTACACTTTGTGAATGGCCCCGTAGTCTTCTGGGACCTGTCACGAGGGAGGGCATCATCTGCTTCCAATCGCCTTAGGCAATCACAGCGGAAGTGGGAGCGGGTACCTGTCAAATTCGGGTACCCATTTCCCCAGCTCCCCAAGGTGCCAATCCTTAATGGGGAGCGGGAGACAAAGACTTAAAGTGGAACTTCCCCTTTTGGGTGGAGCTCCGCTTTAAGGTTAAAAAAAAAACCTTGTGCCTTTAAAACCACTTTAATGCCTATTTTTTTTTTCGCTATATTTCTGTCGAAGAAAGTGGGATTTGCCTGCAAGCCTTTTTCAACATTAAACATTTTAAAACCTATAGAATCCTTGTATCTAGGACATCTTCTACTTGTTTTGGAAATTGTATTGCTTTCTGTTTTTTTCTCTTCAAAACAGGCTCTCTAATCACATAAAATAAAGCCTATCAGTCTGCATATGGCATCCTTATCCCGATGCTTTAGCCGGTGAGTAGAGCTTTCAGTCCAAATTGCAGTCAGTGGAGAAACAGTCAATTCATTATGTGTCCATTTGTATGTGTTCTTCGAATTTGTGTAATGTGATATTTGTAAGAAAAAGCTTTGTCACCATAGCAACTGGTAAAAAGGAAACAGCATTAACTTGTCTGTGTACATTTTTTTAGCTAATAACAAGCACTTTCAGCAGAGAGCTAATGTTAGCCTTGGTTGAGCCTGCCCAGTGAACCGGACTGTAGAAATATAAAGTTGTGATGAATACATACATTTCGAATAATATGTTGTTTTGCATATCATACTGGTACACCACTATATGCGACGTTAGCTGGCAGAAATTGATTTTTTGGAATAAAACTGGTAATAGAAAGCTCTTGGGAAACAGTAATTGATACTAAACTTTAATAAAGTTAAGGGAGAACTGGACAAATCCCAGGAGGTAGAAGCCAATGTACCTAAAAATTGCAGCTAGTGCATAAAAAACAAAGATATTCTCCTGAACTGTGAGAAGTAAAAGAGACTTTTGGTACAGTTAGCCCTTAAAGCTAAACTCCAACCTAACCTTCAATCTTGGACAGTTGTACAGGCTCCTCTTTTGTATTGAAAATGCATGCTCTGATTTCACTTCACACTGTGAGATTCTCCTGGTGTGCAATAGAAGCCCTTCAGTCTTAACCCCTTAAGATTTTACCTCCTTCATGACCAGGGTATATTTTGCTATTCAGCACTGCGATACTTTAACTGGCAATTGCACGGTCACTGTAAGAAAATTCAAATAATATCATTTTTTTTACACAATTAAAGCTTTCTTTTGGTGATATTTGATCACCAATGGGTTTTTTATTTTTATTATATAAATGAAAAAATGACCCACAATTTTTGAAAAAAAAAATATTTTTTACTTTCTGCTACAAAACATATCCAATTTTTTTTTTAAAAAAAAAATCACATTTTTGGTTGAACTGGCTTTTTTGGTCGAACTGGATGGACTTTTGTCTTTTTTCAGCCAGACTAACTATGTAACATTTCTTCATAAATTTAGCCCAAAATGTATTCTGCTACATGTCTTTGGTAAAAAAAAAATCCCAATAAGGGTACAATAAGGGTACGGTATATTAATTGGTTTGTGTGAAAGTTATAACATTTACAATTGATGGTATCAATACTAGAAATTTTGTAGTTTTTTTTATACTGGTATTGACCAGCAACTTATAGTGGGACTGTGATAGTGCGTGGGAAATCTGACACTAACTGATACTTTGTGGGGACTGATTACCTGCCACTGACATTAATATATACTGTCACTGTGCTAATGACACTGGATGGGAAGGGGTTAACATTTAGGGGATATCAAATGGTTAACTGTGTGCCTAACAATGTTTACTGTGGGCAATATGTGCGGTTTTTAATAAGCAATGTGCCAGTTTTTACTTCTTGCTTTGCAGGGAGATAAAAACCTGTCACATCGCTGCTGTCTGTAGAGAGTACTGTGTTGTTTACCAAAAATCATTGGCCGGGACCCGATGATCTGCTTGTGCTGTAGCGAATGACAGCACAGATGGGGCGACGAGCGCACGCCCCCTACCTAGATATGCTGGATCACACACATATACGTGATCCAGCACAGTGGGCCCATACTGTAGCAGTATATGTACAGTGCGAGGTCCACAAGCGGTTAAAGTGGTATTAAACCCCAAAACAAAAATGTAATCTATTGCAACTTGTGGTGGCTACCTTTGTTTTCTTTTCCAATAATACAAACACTTACAAAGACTATGCAATACTGCAATTTGACAGATTTAGACTGTTTGACAAACATGATCTCTTTTAGGCAGGTGCAATTTGCTTCCTCCACTATAGTTGGCGCTTGACTGGAGCAGTACTGCAGTTGGAGAGTCAAGAAAAGTCTGGTTTCTGTGTGATTTCCTGGTCCCAGGTTCTGGATGGCTTTGCTGAATCCAAGTGACCCCTGGCAGCCATCCTGGGGCAGCAGAATCTTTTTAAGACCCTGCTCCCAGGTTTTGGTATGCACACAAAGAGGTTGGGTGAGGGTTAGAGCATGTGTCTGCCAGGGAAAGGAAAGGGAGGGAGGGGGGGGGGGGTGAGAGAGGGGGGGAGAGGGAGGGAGAGAGAGAGAGAGAGAGAGAGAGAGAGAGAGAGAGAGAGAGAGAGGGGGGGGGGGAGGGAGGGAGATGTGCTGTCGGTCCACTCTGTTCTCAAGTTACACAGATATGTGAGCGTTTCCCTGGTGTGGTGTTCTCCCACTAGGATGTCTGTTCAGTTTAGCCTTTCCTTCAATACATGTTTTTTTCTCCTGCAACCAGGTTCTGTGCCTTTACTTTCCCCACCATGCTGCACCTATCCACACCAGGGGCAGACTGACCATTTGGAAACTAGGGGCACTGCCCGAGGGCCCAGGGTGAGTAGGGGGCCCCATGAGATGCCCCTGGTACCTTTTTCATAGGCTTTTTTGAGTTTGGGCAAGGACACAGGGGCCCCATGATCCCCTATTGCCCGGGGGCCCCATGAGTTGTCAGTCCGCCCCTGATCCACACACTAGCCATATCAGATCTTATGGTCGTAAACCTGTGTTTAATTAAGGAGGTCACCTTCCAGTCCTTACTGCTCCTTTGATCCTAGGTGAGGCAAAGTTAGGGCCAGTTGCACCCCCCCCATAAAAGTTACAGAAGTTGTTTCTGTCCACAAGAACAACACAGCAAACAATTGTTTTATTTTTTTAGCCATTTTTTCCTTTTTTTTGCATATAGTGATCTGCCCAGTAATATACTTTCTGTCTTAGGGTGTTTCTGCTCTGGATGAAGGAGCAACTAAGGCACCTTTGAACAGCAGCACTGTAATTTTGGGGAAGATAGTAGTAAAGCCTAAAGCCTGGTACACACAGTACACGTGGCTAAAGAGTCGCTGTACTAATGATGCAATGTTAATACAATGATCTCCCCGCTGAGCTATTGTGCTGTGACAGGGGGACCGTCCCCCCGTCAGAACACAGCGGTCAACGCTCGCAGCCATTGGCTGAGAGTGCTGATTGGATGCCGATCAGCTGCTGGTGTTCCAGCAATTTTGTTCAATAGAAGCTGGCCGAGAGATCAGCTTCTGTCAAACAAGAACCCGTACCAGGGGCGGACTGACAACTCATGGGGCCCCCAGGCAATAGGGGATCATGGGGCCCCTGTGTCCTTGCCCACACTCAAAAAAGCCTATGAAAAAGGTACCAGAGGCATCTCATAGGGCCCCCTACTGACCCCAGGCCCTCGGGCAGTGCCCGAGTTTCCAAATGGTCAGTCCGCCCCTGACCCGTACACACCTATACCCGTATCCACTGTACCGGCTGATTTCAGATGATATTTTGGCCTTAACACTTTTTAAATGGCTACAGCAACAGTTTTTGTGGGATAAAGGTTTCACATACATGAATAAAAACTGTATTGTAAGCACCCCTGTCATTGTTAAATTATTATTATTATAATACAGGATTTATATAGCGCCATCAGTTTGCTCAGCGCTTTTATATAAAGGGAGAGAATACAGCAACGATAAAGTTCAAAACAAAGGGTTAGGAGGGCCCTGCTCCTTGGAGCTTACAATCTAAGAGGGAGAGACTAGTGGTACAAAAGGTAATAACTGTGAGGGATGAACTGATAGGAGAAATAGAAGATTTGGTTATTAGCTGAAGGCAGGATAGGCTTCCCTGAAGAGATAGGTTTTCAGAGATCACCTAAAAGTGAGCAGATGTGATAAAAGTGCAGCGCTGTAAACGCATGAGACATAAATAACTTAAATAATGCTAAATCAATAAAGTGCAAAGAAGTGCGTAAATAGTGCAACTGAGTGAATCAATAAAAGTCTGTGATGACCATGTATATCACAAAGCAGGCAGTATACAGTATACTTGTACTGCTCATTATTCTGCTTGCAAGGGGAAGTTGACATGAGGACCTGCAGTATAAGAATCCACCTGTTTCTGATTTATTCATTTAGTGGATCTGTGCTTTCTTAACCTATCCTGCTACTTCTCGATTATTGCTCCTGTGGGTATCAGATCACTAGTCATTAGGAGGGCAGATTTAAAATGAGGAAGCAATATCCCACTTCTCGCTGGCCCCTACTTAAAGAAATACCATAAAGAAAGGATTTGCTAAATCAGTAATGGGGGAAACTAGTTCCCTGATGTCCTCTGTAGAGTGTGAATCCAGAAAAGCTCAGCTTTGAGTATTAATGGATTTGGCAGGTTTGTTTACCCCCTTGTGGCAGCAATCAACTTAGATAATAAAAAAATAAAGTAGAACACCAGGAAAAAGGTTTTACTTTTGTTTACATTGGTTACCTCCACTGCTAGATATACTATGTCATGATGGCTGCTGTGGATTCATGCAAGACATTACTCTCCATTTTAATATTTCAGCTCTGCTGCTGTGCAGTGTTGTTTACTCTCCCCTTCCTACCACTATTTACAAAACATTATTTTCTCAGAATTCATGTTGTTCTGTGATTGGACAAAGGGCGATCCAGTTGTTTATCCACCCACCCTCTCCCCTTGTCCAATTAGAGAAAATCTTGTATTCTGAGAGGAATATTTCTAAGGATATAATTTATCATTAATTCTAAACAGATGAGCTATAAATGTTTTAAAAGGGTCGACTATGAACAATTTTGCAAACTGTATTTTTTGTAATTTTTTAAATATATGCAGTTTTAGAAGTTCACATATTTGGTATGATTTACTTAACAAAATATCATCTTTTTATTTTACAAAAAATAAATTGGGAATTATATAGTGCTTGTGTGCACTAAAATTCATTTGAATGTGTATTGGAACATATGGATACTGATGGAGGAGTTTTGGTAATAATAACATTTTGGGCCTGAAGTGCACCACTTAATCAAAGAAAACCACTTTAACGGACGAAGATTAGCCTATGCCACCCCAGCATGTGACTCCAGCATTTGCTTTCCCCATGAAGGTGGTCTAGCTTTATACTGTGATAGGTGGGGGTATTACTTGACAATTAATCAATCTGGAATTACTAAAAGACACATGGCTAGCATGCATAGTTGCATAGTTAGTCTGGCTGAAAAAAGACAAAAACAAAGTTATAATCCTATACCCACAGTTATTCCAGAGGAAGGCAGGAAAAGCCCAGCAAAGCATGGTCCAATTTGCTCCTGCAGGGAAAAAAATTCCTTCCTGATCCCCCCAGAGGCAATCAGATATTCCCTGGTTCAATTTTACCTATAAATGTTAGTATCCAGTTATATTATGTGTATCTATGAAAGAGTCCAGGTGTAAGGGAATTCCTGTATGACGGCTGGCGAATAGACGTGCGCATGCGCACAGAAGTGCTCGATCGTGCACACACAAGTGCACGTGCACACGCATGGCAAAGATTGGCACCAGATGGACTTTTTAAAAGGTGCCTTTGCTGAGTGCTGACTGGTCTTCAGCTGTTCCCCATTTCCTGCTCGTTCCTGTGTGATTCCCTTGTTGCTGACCTGGCTTGTTCCTGACCTGACTATTGATTACTCTGCTGCTTGATACTTGTTCCTGACCTCGGCTCTGCTCCTGACTTTGGCTTGCTTATGATTTGGTACCTCGCTGTCCACCCGTTGATGACCCTGGTTATTCCTATGACATTGCTCCTGTCTCCCATCCTAGCTTCCTGCCTTGCTCTGGTGCACGCCTGGCGATCTACCTTACCAGCTCTGCATATCGCTACTGTTCCTGAATCGGTGGTCCACCAGTCTTTTAAGGATTCCAGCTGCAAGTGCTGCAAACAACATCTGCTGGCACTCTTGTCCCCCTGGTCCTTAGACATCCTCTGTTCAACTTCCAGTGGGGTCAGGGCTAGTGACACAAGTGAGGCCATCCTCGTCTTTTCAGTCTCCAATCAGGTACGTGATACCAGGCCTTTTTTAAAGCAATCTACTGAGCTGGCCAGAACCAACTCTTGAGGGAGTCCATTCCACATTCTCACAGCTCTTACTGTGAAGAAACCTTTCTGTATTTGGAGATTAAATCTCTTTTCCTCCAGACATAAAGAGTGCCCCCTTGTCCTCTGTGATGAGGACTCTACACCGAGTTCACTATATGAACCACTGATGTATTGATCATATACGCCCTTATACTCCTCTTCATAAGAGAGAATAAATTAAATTCCTTTAATCATTCCTCATAGCTGAGCTCCTCTATGCCTCTTATCAGTTTGGTTGCCCTTCTCTTCAATTTCTCCATTTCTCCAATATTCTTTTTGTGAATTGGTGCCCAAAACTGAACTGCATATTCCAGATGAGGTATTACTAATGATTTGTACAGGGGTAATATGATATCTCTCTCTGGAATCTATACCTGTTAATAGAGAGGATTTTGCTTGCTTTAGAAACCACAGCTTGGCATTGCATGCCATTTTTAAGCTTATGATCTACCAGAACTCCCAGATCCTTCTCTACCATTGATTCCCCCAGTTGTACTCCCTCTAATATGTATGATTCATGCATATTCTTAGCCCCCAAGTGCATAACTTTACATTGATCAACATTAAACCTCATTTGTCACATTGTTGCCTAATTAACAGTGCATTGAGATCTGCTTGTAAGTTGGAGACATCCTGTAAGGACGTTATTCCACTGCAGAGCTTGGTGTCATCTTCACAGACTGAAACTGTATTTTTAATCTCAGACCCTATATCATTTATAAATATATTGAAAAGTAAGGGTTCCATCACTGAGTCTTGGGGTACACCACTAACAAACCTAGACCTTTCAGAGTATGAATCATTAACCACTACTCTTTTATCCAGTTTTCTATTCATTTACATACAGATTTTTTCAAGACTGTAGACTTTACCTTACACATTAGCCGTGTGTGGGGAACTGTGTCAAATGCCATTGCAAAATCCAAGTATACCACGTCCACCGCCACCCCTCTGTCCAAGGTTTGCTCACCTCCTCATAAAAAGAAATCTGATGTGTTTGACAACTTCTGTCTGTCATGAATCCATGCTGTCTGTTGCTTAAAATAATGTTTTTCCAGCAAGAACTCATCTATGTGGTGCTTTATCAAACTCTTCAATATCTTCCCAACTATAGAAGTTAAAGTAATAGGCCTATAGTTTCTTGGTAAAGATTTTGACCCCTTTTTAAATATTGGCACCACATTGGACTTAAGCCAATCCAGTGGTACTATACCAGTCACTAAAGAGTTCCTAAAAAGTAGAAACAATGGCTTTGAAATGAAAGAGCTCAATTCTTTAAGGACCCATGGATTTATGCCATCTGGTCCAGGTGCTTTATTCACCTTTATTCTCTCTAAATATTTCTGGATCATATCAATTGTGAACCAATGTGGATCATATAGGGCTGTGTCGATACCATGCCCATTATGGACAAGCGCTCCCCCAAGCTCCTTTGTATACACAGAGCTGAAGAAGGTATTTAATAAATTTGCCTTCTCTTTGTCCCCAGACACCTACTCTAGATTATTTTGTAAAGGACCTACATGCTCAGACCTGACCTTTTTACTATTAATATATTTGAATAATTTTTGGGGGTTTGTCCTGCTATCTTTTGCAATCTGTTGTTCGTTTTCAATGTTTGCAGCCTTGATTGCTTTTTTTTTAAATTATTATTATTATTATTTCTTTTATTAAGTTTTTAATTACAAAAACACAACCATATATCATTTACATATAAAATACAAACAATTCTCCTAAATTTTCCGTCCCAACTTCCTCTCCCCCCCCCCCCCCCCCCCCCCCCTCCATCCCCGATCCCCTCCACTCAACCCGTCCCAGTCCATATCTCCCCAACAATCCAGTTCATGTTTATACCCTCTTTTCCTTATTTTTTCTTTTCTTTCTTTCTTTCTTTCTTTCTTTCTTTCTTTTTCTTTCTTTCGTTCTTTCTTTCTTTTTTTCTTTCTTTCCCTCTGACCTTTCTTTACCCTTTTACTGTTTCTGCTATGGTCATACAAGACATTCCCTTTAAATCTCCTACCACAGATCAGATCACTGGGCCTCCCACTACCAAATATTTTCCAGATGTCTTGAAGTCAAATTATCTTCCCCATTCCTTTTTAAATGTTTCTATTTTACTTTTGTCTATATGGTATACCTCCTCCATCTTGTTTATATAATCAACCCTCTCTAACTAGTTCCTCATAGTTGGAGGCTCCTGTACCTGCCAAAATTTAGGAATAAGCCCTTTAGCCACGCTAATTAGATGATTAAATACACTATTTTTTATACTGCTTCACCGGTACATCTAACCTATAAAATAAACACACCCACGGATCCTTCTGTATGGTTATCCCCAATATTTCTTGTATAAGTTGGATTGTATCTTGCCAAAACCCCTGTATTTATGGACATCCCACAATATATGAACCATTGTTCCCTTAGCTCCACATCCCTTCCAACACAGTGGTGAGACTTCTGCTCGTTGTTTATGTGCAACACTTGGTGTCCAATACCATCTCACTAACAATTTGTAATTAATTTCAACTGTGTTCATAGTTGTCCCCTTATGTGTTAATTTAAACATTTTATCCTTCTGTGCTTCATTAATTTTTGTTCCCAGCTCCCTTTCCCATTTCTCCAGGAACAGAGGGTGACCCGCCCCCTCAATTCAGTAAGAATCTTATAAATCCCAGAAGTGACATGTTTTGGAGCAAAACTACAGCCCAACATCTTTTCGAATGGGAGCATGTCCTCCGCCGTACTCAGGGGTTGGGGCAACTTCGAAACAAAATGTCTTAATTGATAATATCTCAATTCATCTAATGCTACAAATATCTCTTTTTTACTCTTTAAATCCTGAAAAGTGCACAACTCCCCCTTAATTACTATATCCCCAACCGTGCCTCTATATCCTTAAACCATTTCCCCAAAATATTATGCTTCCCCGGTGGGAAATAATCTGTACCCACCAGGGGAATCAACAGTGAATTATACTTCCAATCCAATTGTTTATGTAATCCATCCCATACTCTTAACACCTCTTGTGTCAGTGTACTGCTAGACTCATCCATAATACAAAACTTCCATGGTATCCAAATAATCCTCTCTAATTGTGTTACTTAATGTGCCCTCAATTTTAACCCAACTCTTCCCCTGTGAGCTATGTGTCCAATCTACAATTCATGAAAGTGCAGTGTATTAATTCTTAATATCGGGCAAATGTAATCCTCTATTTTCTTTCTTATTACACAGAAGTTCACAACTGATTCTTGGCTTCTTATTAGCCCATATATATTTTAAAGTGGAGCTCCACCCAAAAGGAGAAGTTCCTCTTTAAGGACTGCTCCCCTGCTCCCCATTAAGGATTGGCACCTTTGGGGAGCGGGTACCCACATTTGACAGGTACCCACTCCCACTTCCGGTCCGATTGCCTAGGCGATCAGAAATGGAAGTTGTCCTCCCTCCCTCCCTGTAGTCTTTCTGGGACACGTGACAGGGTCCCAGAAGACTACAGGACTATTCACGAAGCGCAGTGCTACTCGCACATGCACAGCGGGTACCCGGCTGTGAAGCAGTGCCCACACTGAAAATGCCAGCCTTCCAGAATATAGGATGGCCAGTGAAACGAGCTGTGGGAGACACACCATAGGACCGAGGGACAGGTAAGTGGCTGTTTTTTAAAAGTCAGCAGCTACAGTTTTTGTAGCTGCTGACTTTTATTTTTTGATAGGTCGAGTGGAACTCCGCTTTCAGTGTTAATTTTTTTATTATCAAAAAGAAGGATTTTGGATATGGACTGGGAGCATATGAAATTGATATAGGATTTTTGGGTCTATCACCATCTTAACCAAAGTTATACGCCCAATCTAAGAGACCCTTCCCCTTGAAAGTCTTCTCAACTCCTCCTTAATTTTATCTATTAATGGGATATAGTTTACCCAATATATATTTTTTATAGAAGGGGTCAATTTTACTCCTAGATAGCCCAATTCTTTTGCCCTCCATGAAAATGGGAAGTCCTTTTGTAGAGTCTGCATCTCCTTCGTAGAAATATTAGTATTCAAGATTTCTGGTTTTATAGGGTTTATTTTCAAATTTGAAAGCTCTCTGTACTCTTTTAATAATCTCATTAGGTTGGGTAATGTTAACCCAGGGTTCACAATATAAAACAATATATCATCAGCGTATGCTGCTACCTTATGCTCTATCTCACCAATCATAATTCCTCTAATATCTACACTATTTATTATCATTGCCAACAAAGGTTCCAAGCATAAAATAAATAATAACGGGGATAAGGGGCATCCCTGTCTTGTACCACTGTACATCCTAAAAGACTCCAAGAGAGACCCATAAACCTTAACCGCCGCTGTCGGACCATTATAGAGCTCTTTTATCCAACTCATCATCTTAGTACCTATTCCCCAGGCCTCTAGTGTGGCTATCATAAACCCCCAATCTACCCTATCAAAAGCTTTTTTTTGATCAACAATATAATTGTTGGTAATTTTTCTCTTTTTGCCTTCTGTAAGAGAAGCAATGTTCTTAGACCATTATCCCTCCCTTCCCTTCCTGGGACAAAGCCCACTTGATATAAGTGTATACATTCAGGCATTAGCTCTTTTAATCTCGTAGAGAGCACCTTCGCAAACAATTTTGTATCTGTATTTAAAAGTGATATAGGTCTGTAACTAGCACATTGTGAGCTATCCTTTCATTCTTTTAAAATAATCGTTTTATATACACATGCAACGATTCTGCTCTTATTCCCATTTCCTCACTTAGGGCATTCATATATAAACAGATCTTGGGGACCAATAGGTCTCTGAATTTCTTACCCAACAATATACCCATCGGGTCGTGGGTTCTTTCCCCCCTTCAATACCTTATTAATTTCCTCCTGAGTGATAACTTGTTCTAAAGACACAAATTTTTCTTTTGCTATTTTTGGCAGGTCCACTGCCTTTAAATATTCCAGCCGTTTCCCTATCCTTTCTCCCTCTGTAACTTTCCGGTTCTTAGATTTAACATCATACAGCTTACTATAGAAATTTTGGAATGTTTCAGCAATATCGTTGGTGGAGTGAACCAGTTCTCCTTTTTCGTTCTTAATTTTTTCAATATAATTTTTTTATTTCTTTTCCTTAAGTATTTTCATCAAATATTTCCCTGGTTTATTCCCCCACTGATCTCTTTCCTTTGCAATCCTATTAAAAATCTTCTTTAACTCTTTTTCCAATAGGTCTTTTAACACTGCTCTTTTAGGTGTAATCCTCAAATAAACCTCTGTGTCCTGTCTCATTTTATGTGCCTGTACTATTCTATACAGTTCTTCTGTCACCTCCTTTTTTTCTCTCCTGGTCTTTCTTTTTTTAGCTCCTGTGGCTATCAGGATTCCCCTCACATATCCCTTATGTGCCTCCCAAATACTGGCCAACAAGACTTCCTCAGTTTCATTTAACCTAAAAAATTGCTATACTTCCTCCCTTAGTCTCATCTCTATTTCAGGGTCCTGTATAAACAACACATTTAGTCTCCACATTGCCCTTTTATTCCCTTCTCCTCCTGCCTTTAATCTCACTGTGACAGGAGCATGATCCAAGATAGATATAATTTCGATATTAGATTTAACAAATAAATCCAATTGTCTATGCTCGATCACTATATAATCCAACAGTGAGCCAGAGAGAGTATAATCTCTTTCTCTACGATGTTTCACCCTCCATGTATCCAATAACTGACTTTGATGTACCCTTTTTTTTCAACTTTCTTAGTTTTTTACAGCCTCCTCTCTGCACATTCAATGACGTATCCATCCATGGATCAACACAAAAATTAAAATGTCCTGCCAAGACCAACGTCCCCCTCTTAAACTCTATAATTTTCCCCAACACTCCATACAGAAATACTTCTGTTTTTTTATTCGGGCCATATATATTAACAAAGGTATAGGTTTGTCCCCATATTTTCCCTCTAAAACATAGGAACTGGCCCTATGGGTCCTCCAATCTCTCCTCCACAACAAAGCCCACATTTTTTTAGAACCCGAGCGCTACTCCTTTAGCTCTCTTTATTGGTGAGTCCTAATAATACCATATTGGATAGTACCTCGAGTGTAGTTTATTATTAGAGTCATGTGTTAAATGTGTCTCTTGTAAAAACACAACATCTGCGTAGAGTTGATGAACTCTAAGTAGTTTATGTCTTTTAGTAGGAAAGTTTAACCCTTTCACGTTATATGTAATAAAATTAATCAGACTCATAGCTGTATAGTATTTCTATTCTCTTTCTTGTTTGAAGGGAAAACGGTATAGACCATCCATCTCATGGACCTTCCACCCTCTCCTCTCCTCCCCACCCCACCCCCATCCCTTCCCTCCCACCACTCCCCCTCTCTCCTCCCATCCTACCCCACCCTTCCCATATTACTTCCCTCTCCATGCTACCCCTCTCATCCTCCACCCCCCCTCCTCCAGCCCACCCCAGCCCTTACCTAAGTTACTGTTAAAAACCCCTTGGCCTGTATATTGCCCTGGAATCTGACTTGATATTCCCCCCACTAATGATTCCTAATTTTGGGTATGGCTCTGAACATGCCTATTCCTACCCCCAGCATTGGGTGTGAGCGTTTAATATCCTATTTAGCTTCCTGACACCCCGCCATCTCTACTTATCTTCCTCAAAGGCTTACTAAGGGCACGGGGGTGGGGGCGTAATGGAGGGGGGAAGAGAGAGAAAAAGGGGGGGGGGATAATTCATCCCCCAAAACCCCCAATCTCTCTAACACCAACCCCCCACCCACCCACTCCCATCCCAATTTGATCTATCTCATCTTTTTATTCACTGTCTGCCACCTCTCTTTTTTCAACAATGTCCACCTTCTGCAGTTCTAATTTTTCACAAAAGTCACCAAGTTCTTCTGGGAATCTTAGCCTAGCTGATTTCCCATCTTTTCATCCCATCAGACATGCCAGGAATCACCAAGTTATATTGAATTCTTTTCTCCCTCATCTGGTCCAATAGGGGGTTTCAACGATTTTCTTCTGGCTAATGTCTCAGATGCGATGTCTGCAAAAACGTGTAATTTCTTTTCTCCAAATTTTATTTCTCGGATCTCCCACACTTTTTTCCATATTCTTTCTCTGTCTTCATAATAATGGAATCTAACAATCACATCTCTAGGGATGTCTGATGTTACTCCTAGTGGGAGTCTTAATCTATGTATTCTCTCAATCTTCAGAGGATCTACCTATCAGTGGGTTAAACACTCTCTTTATTACATTAAATCATGTTATGGTTACTGTACCCAGATATTCTTTTATATGGACATTAGTAATAAGCTCTGCATGGTTTGAGATTACCAGGTCCAGCAGAGCATCATTTCTAGTTGGGGCCTCTATGAACCATAAAATTGTCTTGTAGTAGGTTTTATACATTTTTGCCTTTTAACTGTTCCTGCAGTGCCATTACTCCAGTCAATTTCCGGGTAGTTAAAATCCCCCATTATTATCACTGTCCCACCCTTTGCAGCCCTTTTGATCTGTGCAAGGAGCTGAGTCTCCGCGTCCTCATTAACACTGGGTGGTCTATAACAAACTCCAACAATTACCTTTGTAGTATGTACTCCCATGTGCAGTTCCACCCATAATGCTTCAGCCTCATCACATTCTCCATCAACTAGGTCCTCTTTCACACTGGCTTTGAGATCACTTCTCACATAGACCACTGCCTTTCCTTTTTACTCTGTCTCTCTGAAAGAGAACTTATCCAGGAATAGTAATGGCTCAGTCATGTGAAGAATGAAGCCAAGATTAAGCAATACCATATAAATCATAGTTCTCTTCATGCACCAAAGCTTCCAACTCACCTATTTTGCTTGGCAGACTTCTGGCATTGGTGAACAAACACTTTAATTCATTGACACCTTTTTCACACAGATAACAAACCTTTCACACAAAAATCAGACTACATGAGGAGCAAGAGGGCAGAGTTGTAAGGATTAGGATTAGCCCATAAAGAGCAAAATAAGCATCACAATATTATAAACAGGACTACAGATGGTGAAAGCAACAGTGTAGATTACCATAAGGCACATTGATAGTAATCAGTCTGTTTCAGTTTGAGGTGGATGTAAAAGCAGCAGCATAGACTACCTGTGAAGGGACAGAGCAGAGATGTTCAGATTAGGCTGACCAGAAGTGCACAACTTAGTAGAAAAAAAACTCTCACTTTGCTCTCACTTTCTGTTTTGGCTATAGGACAGGACGTGAAGTAAATTCTTCACAATGGGATACAGATGGCAAAAAAAATTGACAGGGGTTATAACCTTCCCTTACTCTATCCAAAATGAAAAAAGTTTGCCCTTGGTTCTACTTTGAAATACCCAGCAGACCCTAATCCTGGTATGCAGCCGGAGTTGCCAGAAACAAAGGCAAGAAAGCATACAGCCTCCAGCCTTTTTCTGCACTAGACCAGGTCACATGCCTTTAAATATTTGGAGGGTTCCTTGCAAAGGAGGGGGCAAAGCCTCCCCCCGTTTGCAAAGTACTTTTGTCCCAAAGTTGAGGGACAAGATTCCCTTCCCCACCTCTGATGGCTGAAGAAGGAGGTGGGGTAATATGGAGTCTGGAAGCTTCCCTTATTAATGGGGCATCCATATATCCACCCCTCCAAAGGAAATCAGTGGAGGGGTACATTAGTACCTTTTACCCATTCCCAGAAAGAGTTAAAGGTAATTAAAGACAGACACACCTTGAAAAAGTTCTTTAATGAAATAAAAACACCCAAACACCTATAAAATACATTCTATTAATATCCTCCCATATCAAGTCTGTCACAGCCTCAAGTGATGTAATCCTCATCAATCATGATGACCTAATGCACACCATTGTTTACACACTGCACTGTTATCTTTAAATGATAGATTCCCAGGCTGCAGTAATGTAAATGAACAGTTGGGAGTCCCAGGTGACATCACTGATCAACTATGAGATCGTTATGTGCAAGAACAAGCTTACCATACTTTGCCTAAGGTTTGTGCTATCACAGATCATGATTTGAAAACTTCTATGT